AATTTTAATTTGTAATGGAAGGAAAGTGTTGTTGGCAACATCCTGGGAAGTGTCATATTGCAGGTAGGAAAAGAGAACAAAGTGTGCATGCACTTTGAAGTTTCAGCTGATAGATGGCAGCAAATGACAGAAAGTTGGGAGGACTTCAGAACTATAGCTAGACAGGAATGTGACGCTGCATATCTTAAAAGGTTGTGAGACTGATTAAATCTGGGCTGCTCTGTTTACACATACTTGTTGGACTCTGTGACAAGTTTTCCAGGTTCGTTTGGGTCAAGCTCAACTTTCTCACCTCCCCAGGACACCTGTGACACATAATAATTACATTAAGATGGAATATTGCAGCAACACATGCTGGTATTTGGATAGAAGTAATAAAATTGTCTGATTCAAGCTGTGATTGAGTAAAAACCTACAGTGAAAGTAGCCACCAGAGCGTCGACTACATCAGGAGTGTAGTCCTCCAACATGCACCTCCAAGACCTCAAGACACAGTCAACATGGTTCAAGATTAGTTTAACATAATCATGACCTGCACATGTACCATAAAAATGTTTCAAATTAAAACGACCAAATACGTTAACATTATTTTCAGTCTACTTAGAGTTTCAATGCATGGGATATGATAGAAACATATAAGAAAAACAGTTAGACAACATTACCAGTTTACTTCATTTTAGTCTTCATATTCTATATTTTTTAATTTGTTTATTTTTGTGTAACAATATGATTTTTTCAAACTTGACCTCATGCAGCATTGTGCAAAAGCAAAAGTCATGAATTCCTAAATCAGTCTTACTCGGCCAGTACGGGTTCAAACTCCTTCATGTCTTCCAGCGAAGGTTTCACTCTGAGCAGCTTCTTGAAGAGAGCTTGTGGAAAACGCAGGTGGATGACGTTGTGGTTGTAAAGAGCCATGCCACACAGAACTCCAAACAGGAAGTAAGTCTTCTCCTCCACTTTCAGCTGTTTGGTTGGTGAAAGAAACTTAGTAACATTCAGTAACTGACTGAGAGTACAGAAGGAAATAATGAAAATTCAATTCAATTCAGTTCAATTCAATTCAAATAAATACATTTGTCCCTTGGGGGCAATTCAAGGCCAATTAAATGAAGAAATTAAAAATGGAATATGCTGAGAGAAAAATGTCAGTAAACTCTTTTGCTCTGTCTTTAAAAGCGTTTGCATCTACAGTTGGTTCAGGTATGAGAGCAAAAGTTGAAGAATGGACCGTTCATAGTTCAACATTTAGTAAACCAGATGAAGTAACTTTATTCTTAAGATCAAATGACAGTATTATCAAAATCTCCCTCACTTACATTATGTTCATATACGGAACAAATCAAGATTAGTAGAGGAATTGGTTTGTCTTCTAAAAATACTCTCTCAGAGCATGTGGAAAATGAATGCTAGTTTTCTCTTTAATGAACCGGTCTTACTTTGGGAGGGAACCAGGCCAGAGTGTTGCTCTCGTTGTACATGAATAGCCCAGATTCAGGAGCGAGCAGCTCATCAAACATGTGGAGGAAGAAGTCCTTTTTGCTGACATTCGTCAGCTTCCTGTCATCCACAAACTGCACCTGGGAGGGAAAAATATCATACTTTTAAATATACAAACCAAAAACTGAATTATTAAAAGAACTAATGCTTTCCTGATTTCCATTTTATGCTTGTGACACACGGTTCTGAGAAGCAACTAAATCTAGCAACAGCTGCCAAAACTGACAGGTTAAATGTTGAACTTTAATTGATAATAGTCATCATTTATTTCTCATTACAGAAACATTGCTTGCATGTGTCCTTGAACTCGTTTTTGCTTCTATTTAATGGTCAGTTGTCATATATTCTACCTTTAATCTTTAAATGTAAATGACATTTTGCTGATTTCTCTTGAACCACAAATTTAAAAATCATAGAAATCTACTTATCTGTGATGTTTCA